GAACAGTTTTAGTGACATGTGAGTGAGGGCGGAGGAACGGGCGCTGCCATCCTGTCCGGGCTGGCTGTGCCTCTGTGCAGAGCAGCACGGGTGCTGGGACGGGGACCAACAACAGGACTAGCGCCGAGGGCAGCACCCAGGCAGACCGAGCACATTTGCTTGCGCACGCTAGGAAACATCTCACAGCACTGCTATTTTTTTCTCTTTTTTAGAACCGGAGATATGTCCTGGCTAACTGGGAAAGGCTCCTAACGCTGCTGGTGGCTGTGCCCTCCTGATGCTGCCCTCGCCATGGGGAGACGCGATGGCAGCTCCACAGACAAGCGGGAACACCGCAGCTCAGTCATTTCCCTTTGAGACTTGGATGAACCCGGCGCCTGTCACTGCGCTCTTACCTTCCCAGCAGACTGCTGACGGCTCCTCTGCCCCGGTGCCTACTGGGCTGGGGCTCTGTGGTTGCGATTCCCGTGGGATGCTGGAAAAGCAGCTCCCAGAGAAAGCGGGGTTTGGCACTGGCAGAGGGCACAGGCACCGCGCGGCTGCAGATGCTGCTGATGGGCTGTGGGGTCCCCAGGCAGGTCTGCCCCAAGCACGTCCCTTGCCCATGTAAACAGCGTGAGTGCCTTTCATTGCTCCCTGTGCTTTCAAGCATGTTGCCTCTTCCCAAATTCTCTTCGCTCCCAGGAGAGCTCCAACGCGCGTCCCCGCAGAGCCTGACATCCGCTCCCTCTCCGCATGGCTGCAGCGCTTGCCACGGCTCTCCCCGTGCTCACACACCCCGGGGAGCACCTGGGGGGGCCAGGGAGATGGGGTCACGCCAGGTGGTCTCTGTACAGCCTGTGTTTGTGTTTCGCATTCTCCCTTCTCCAGGCTGGTCGCCCTGTCCAGCTCCCCCAGCAGAGGTAGGTCCCTACCCAAGCCAAGGGCTCTGGAGCTCATCAGACCCCGTCCCAGTACCCGCAGCATCTCCCCATCCTGGAGCAGACAAGGGGCTGGAGCGCTGCTCCCCATCTCTCGGGGCTCGGTTTGGGCTTGGGCACTGGCAGCTCTCGGTCAGCCCCCGGGGTGTGGAGCGGGGGCTCCCTGGAGAGGTGTGACAGCCAGACTGCAGCCCGCGGGCTTGGTGGCCGTCCTTCCAGCTAGCCTTGTGAAGTCTCTCTCCTTAACGATTATCGCAGGATTAATGCTGCTGCTGAGATGTTACTCAAAGGAAAGTAGCCGGAGGAGTATTTCTGGCTGTCCTCCGGCCTTCGTCACTCATTTGTCCTGTCGCCTAGTGACAAGGCTGCATTTCTCATCTCAGCTTTCCATGGCGGTGCTCTGCTGTCGTGTTTCCTGCCCCTTGCTGGAAGAAGAGCCTTATCTCCAGCTCAGGAGTGGAACTGGCCAGCCCGCAGCCCCATGTCCACCAGCCCAGCAGAGCCAAGGGGGTGAGAACCCCCCTTGGAGAGCCTCCAGTGCTCTGTCCTGGGGCAGGTTTCTTCCCCAGCAGTCAGTGTTTTACCCTGAGCCCAAAGCAAGAGGATTTATATTTTTAATTTGATTCACCCCCTATGAATTAAAGCAGTACTATTCTTGGGATCTGGATCATCTCTGATTTATTCCAAGGCCTTGGGTCACCTCTGCAGGTTGGCTGGGTGGTGCAAGCACCTCTTCTGTGGAGGCTTCTCACTTGTGTCCAGCTCACCTGTATCTATTTCCAGATCTTTGCTGGGTAGAAACATCACCGGTCATCTGTCATGTCTCTGGTTGGTCTCTTCTGGTTTCACTGCAAGGTTTTTCCCAGGCAGTGTGACCAGAGGGGATGGTAGGCAGGGACGTGCATGCTCCAGTACGCAGCGATGAACAGGGTCCTCTTCTTGAACCGTTACATATCTGCTGGATCCACAAAGGGATGTGAACTTGCAAGTCTCATCTTAGGTCCCAAAAGGCAAATGTCGATGTCCCCGTCCCCAGTGCAGCGTGGGTGAGGGCTTTCTCTGAGGGCAGAGGTATCCGGGGCTGCTCCGCCCCTGGTGCCCCAGGCCGGGCTCTTGCAGAGGGGCCAGGGCGGTGCACGCTGCACAGGTGGAGGCAGCTGCCCAGCCTGCTGCCCCGGCTCTGCACACTCGCCGGAGAGATGTGGCTTTGCATCCCGTTGTCTTGCTGGTGGGATGGCCGGACTCTTATTCGGCAGCTCTCCAGGGGACCCAGCTGGGGGTGCCTGGGGACGCCGGGGCACCACATGGTGGCACCCCCCGGGGCTCTGTGATTTTCCCCCCTGGGCTCTCCGGCACAGCTTCCACACTGGGTGAGACTGGCGGCCCCCCATGCTCCCCCAGCACAGCTTGGCTGAGCTTTTCCAAGGCCTCCGTCTTCCTGCTCACCTGAGGCCTTGGCATCCTCTGGAGTCCTCCTGGGTAGATCGCCAGGGCACTTTGTTTTTCAGGAAGATACCCTTTGACTCCTTTGCCTCTGCTGGGGCCTCATCCAGTGTCGGGCATGAGCTGCACACAGCGGGCATCATCCCCGTGTTCATGGGGCTGAAGACCATGCAGGGGCTGAGGAAGGACCTTCTGCTCCAGCTTACGGCTGCAATATGGGGAACAAGTCCCATCCCCCCTTTTTACAGAGGAGCTGTTTCAGCCAGGGCTGGGAACATCACCCCATGACACGAGAAACCCCAGTCGCCACCATGGCTTTTCTTAGGACATGTGCCGGGTCATGGGCAGGGCTGCCAGCATAGCTGGGCATCCTGACACCGACCTGCAGGATGGTGTTGGACCTGGGACCCATCGTCCAGCACCTCAGCAAATGCTTACCGGTGGTGAGCACGTCCTGGATCTGGGCAAGGCTGGGTTATCTCTTCTGCCACCTCTCCAGGCACATCTTGCAACCTCCCATGCCAGGACAGAAAGTTTCCAGCTCTTCTTGAGAAACAGCCTGTTCCCATCGGGAATGAGCACCATTAGCTAAACCCAGCTGGGGCACATGCAGCTTGTTAGTGATCCCCGGCTGCATTGCCCCATCACATTTAGCTTCACCAGGTTGCCCAGGTATCTTCTAGGTTGCTCACCTGGGTTGCCCACCCAGGTGTGATGCCTCCAGACCCCAAGCTCTCCACCAGCTCCTGCTCCTCAGATGCTGGGCTTTGCCTGTCACCCTGCCCGCATCTCGCCCTGTGTGCTGGCAGGACCCAGGGAGCCAGGTGCTGGGCACAGCACGCCTTCCCTTCCCACACACCCGAGAACCCCTCTTGACATCTCGTTTCAGCATCACACCAGGTGACGGTTTATTTTTAGTTCCGTCGTGCCCTAAGCCTTTGTTGAAAAAAATCACTGCTCCTCACGAGGTGGTTTCCCAGACACTAAGTATGGCCTCACCCTTCGTCTGTCCATCTCTGCCCTTGCTTTTGCACCTTGCCCGTTGCTTGGGTGAACGTTGCCCTCTTCATGTACTGGCATTTACGCCTCGCTTTGCTCCTTCTTACAGACCCCAAGGAGGTCGTGGCAACACAAATAGCTTCGCCTTCTTCCTTTCCCGCAGTGGCACGCTTGCCCCCCTGTTCCACGGGCTGGCTGCCCTTGTCTCGGCTAGAGCTGGTCTGAGCTGAATGGTGGTGGCCAACCATCTCCAGGCAAGTCTTCCCAGTGTCACTTCTGAGGCTGGGAGGTGTTCAATGAAACAGTCTGTGGTTAAACACCCTCCCCAATGCAGTGGAGACTGTCTTCTCACCAGTGGCATCCTCAGCTGTCTTACCCAGGCTTGGCCAAACAGACCAGAAGGACCTCATGGGCCTTTCTGCTCATCCATTGTCCTCCTTTAGCTCAGTGTCATTATCTAATAACGGGCCAATGCTTATAGCAGGGTGTATTTTTTCCACACTTGGTTAGATTTTCTGTGAAATCCACTTCGCATAGGTGATTTGGTTTTTTTTATATCAGTAATGTAAGGACAGGGCAGCAGCTGCCCTGAACCACGCCGTGGGGCCACACTGGGGTGTCACAGCTGCTCAGAAGAGCTGGAGAAAGGACATGTACCCTGGGCTGTGCTCACAGCATGGACCTGCCTGGAGAGACTGGGTCCTTGTGCGTGGAAAGCCCTTGATGAACTTCAGCCAGTCACGCGTTGGTTTAGTCACGCTTCCAGCTCCAGGTGGTTTTTTTTGGCAGCATATGGCAATGAGCTCTGCAGCTTCGTTTTGGCTTTATCAAGCAGAAGAATCCTCTTTCTGTTTGGTTTCTCGTGTCCCTTGCCAGTGCCTGGCCCTGAAGGAGCACATTTACAATACTCTCTCCCAATATTTGCAGCAGCTGCTCTGATGCACCTTCTGGGATGGGTTGGAGGCTGAGAGATGAGACCATGCCCGTTGGGTAGCACTAACCGTGAAGGCCCTAAAGCATCCCCTTTCCCTGCCATTCACCTCCGGCTCAACCACCCTCTTGCACACACTGTCCCCCACTGCCCTCCCCAGGCCCCCCGAGCCTGGATGTGGCTTGGGGATGCTGAGCGGCGTGGAGACCCACGGGGGCGGCCCATTAGCAGGGAAGCTCGTGGTGACGGGTAAAATGCTCCATGAGTCTGGAGGCTTTGAAGAAGTGTTTCTGGCAAAGAGCACCATCCCCTCCCTGGGCATCCTTGTCTGTCAGGGAGTTTTGAGCAATGATTACATTGATCAACCCAGCTGGGAGAGGGTGCGGCGGAGCAGAGTGCTGCCTGCGAGGTACGTGGGCTGGGGACACCACCGCGTCCCCGTCACGGTGATGGGTACAACCTGCTCCTCATCCCTGCAAGTGGCTGCGGAGGGGAGACGCTCTGTATCCTCGTGGCTCCCGCATGGGCTTGGTGTCCCGGGGGGGTTTTTTCCTTCCCCACATCCTCCTCCCGGCTCAGCAGCCCTGTCCCCAGGGAGCCAATGGCCGCGTGGCCCCACGCATTAGCCCGACCTGTCATCCCATTAATTACCTTCCGGCTAATCCCGGCTGAGCCGGGCTGGGGCGAGCAGGGCTCAGCTGCCGGCCATGGCTGCGCACACTCCTCTGCCCCGCAACCTCCGCCGGGGCTTGGTGGCGTTCAGCAGCTCCCTCTTCATCAACAACAAGACGTGGGACAGCGGCGCTGCCCACACCTACCACCCAGGTACGGGCAGCAGGGCTCGGCGGCAGAGGGGTTGGGGGTGTGGGGGGGGTTTGCTGTTGCTTCCTCACCGCAAGCCTGCTCAGCACATCACCAAAGCACACAGGTGCCTCTGAGCTGGGAGCACCCGAAGGGTCCCTGCACCCACCCACCGACGAGGGGGAGGAAAAATAAGTGCATTTGCTGCAAACAGCCGTTCCTGCTACCCAGCCGTCGGGCTTGGCAGGGGCCCTCGCTCTCCCCTCCGTGAGCTAGCGAGGGAGGGGTCCCTCTGGGCAGCAAGGCCCTGGGGGTGCTAGGCAGCCCTGCCCACCCCTGCCTGCCCTGCCCTGCCCAGCCCAGGAGGTGCTGGCCAGCCTGCCCCTCCAGATGATGCTCTACTTCAATGCCTACTACTTCCCGGCCTGGTGCCTGGCTGAGGGGATGATGCTGCAGCTGAAGGTACCGTTCCGTGGGGGCACGTGGTGGGGGGGTGAGCCTGCTCCTGCCCAACCTCCCCGGGCATGCAGGGGCCGCATTGAGCAGGGGAGAGGGGAACCTCTTCAAAAATTAATGGGTCCCCACACACATGAGCAAAACGCCCTGTCCCCCACAAGACAAGATGGCTCGCCGCCGGCTCCCAGAAATGGGAATCGTGAGAACAACCACTGAACTTTCCAGGCAGGGAAGGTTAAACTGGGAGGGCAGTGGGCAAGGCTGGGCACCAGCACGGGTGGGGGCTGGCAGAGCATGGGGAGCTGGGCATGGGGAGCTGAGCATGGGGCACAGAGCACGGGGAGCAGGGGACAGGGCAAAGGGAATGAGGGGGTGGGCACAGGGAGCTGGGCATGGAGGGCAGGGGATGGGAAACTGGGCATGGAGAGCTGGGCACGGGGCACAGGGGACGGGGCCCAGGCTGGGACGAGGCCGTGCCCCCGTTACAGTACCACCTGCTGCCTCGGCACTACCAGTTCCTGCTGGTCGCTGCCTTCCTCATCCTCTCGCTGGCTGAGGGCTCCCGCCTCTACCTGGGCTACGTGGGGAACCTGCAGGAGAAGGTAAGTGCCGTCTCTCTGCCCTGGCCACCAGTCCCCTGTGTTCGGCGAGGGACGGCCCTGCTGGGGGAGCTGTGGCTACGCTGGATGTCCCCTTGTCCAGGACCTGAATGCCCGTCACCACCCGTTCCACGTGGAGCTGTCCTGGGAGGGAATCGCGGGTGCAGGCAAGACCTGGAAGCAGGGGACGAAGGGGACCCACAAAGGGGACCCACTCGCTCTCCTGCGGTATCCCTCCCTGTGCTGTGGGTGTGACGCTCCAGCACTGGTCTTGACAGCATCCGACCACATCCAGGCACGGCTCCACACAGCAGGGACGTCCCCGGTACCTGGGTGCCGAGGCCAGCAGAGTGGCCGATGCAGGGAGCTCCTGGGGCAGAGAGGGTCCCCCACACCA